AAATAAAAAATATTAAAAAATGAAGGTTCAATTGCTGCAAAGTCAAAACTTTAAAGAAAACAAAACTCAACTGTCCAACAATCACATTCTTTTGAGAGAATTTGAAGGCAATATTCTTCCCTTTTGCGATTGTTCTCTTTTCAAACTATTCATTCAACAAAACCTCATACAGAAACAAGCTGAAGACCTTGTGCTTTAAATATATTTTTACATATATGCTCTGAAGTGATTAAATGTCATGGAGTGGATTTGGGTTGGGCGGGAAGGGGTTTTCGTTGTGGAAATCTTGATTGAACCTTGTGAATGCTGAAAAGCGGCAAATAAAGTGTTCTGTTCATTCATTCATTCAAAATATAAATACCAACTTTCATTCGAACTAAATTTGATTATTTCAACTGGAGTATGTACAGATATTATGAATACTGTACAAACCTATTTTGAACATACAGTATTTAATGTTAATGTTTAAAATAGACCGAATTTTTTTTTTTCTGGCCCGCATAAAAACGTTGCATCAATATAATTTTGACCTGATTCATGAATTGATCCAGTGAAAAACCACGCCAAAGCAAAACGCCAGCTTCTCTGTATTGTCCAAAAATTAGATCACCGGCATCCAAGGCAGCTGCTGAGCCAATATGAGTCCCTTCTTCGCCATAATTGGTCATGTAAAACGAGATTCGTCCTTGCCTGGAACACAATAATCAATCAAAAACGAGCTTTCACTCAATTCAGAAACGAAAGAAGAAAAAAATAACTTTGAATAAATCACGATCATAAACGCTGATTTTCTTTTTAACATACTTTCGGCTTTAAAATTCAAGGTCAGGGCAGCAATCTACAACGATATTCCATTCGAGTTGATCGCAAAATCAAGTTTGACACGTTTCCTACACCGATGATTGATTTTTGCAGCGTTCGATATTCATCAAGTTTTTGGACAGCAGCGAATTCAAAATTTAGAAGGCAAATTGTGCGCGTTTTTTCCTCTATTTTCAGGTCTAAAAAATGTTCTCGGAAAAGATATCGAAACGGCGAACGATTGAGATGTTGAACAATTATTGCTCAGGGAGAAAAAAAATTCTTTGACAAAAGAAAAAAGCAGTCGTTTCTTTTTTTAAACACAAAAATGGCAGATGAACGAGTTGATCAACTATGCTTTACTACGGTACAGTACAGTATTAAAAAATAAATAAAGCGTTTTGTTTTTCGGGGTGTGGAAACTCTGAGCATGTTTTGTGCCAGGTACCACAAGTTGTCGCAGTACCAGAACATGTAGAACTGCTCTCGCAGAAGGGGCTCTAAGCCCAGAACGCTGCCCAGTTAGTGCAACGGGTATTTATCCATCACGTGGTAGACTGGGATCCCGGTGAACTCTAGGCGGAGCCACTTAACGTTGCAGAGGCAGGTGCCCCGGACTCACGGGCCCTTGTGCCCAGCGAGCAGGCTGCGTCCGCCGGAGCCGCAGGGCCAGCTGTACCGGGACGTGAACGCGTGCGCCGCCACTCGGCGACAGCTGGTCGTCAACAAGCGACACAAGACCCGAGACATGATTTACGCACAGGCCTGTCTTTCAAGAATCTTTGCAGAGCCAAAAACGAAGGAAAAGCAACATTTCACTGAAGAGTCAACTTCATAGAAACATTAGTTCAAAACTCTCTTTGAGCGTTCATCACTTTCCCCAAAATTAGGACACTAATCATACACGAGGTGTGTAACAATTTTTTTTTTCAAATAGAAATTGAAACAGAATAAAATTGAGCTGGAACACAATTATTCACGAGAAAAAAAAATATTTTTTTTTTTATGCATGGAAAAATAATTCAGCACTGTTTGACACATTTTCCGGAATTTTTTGCAATAGTGACAACTTTCTGATCTTAGCTCAAAAGTTAAGGCACCACCAGCACTTCCATCAAAATTCTTGAAATTGACAGGGCATCAATTCCAAGGGTTTCCGCCATCAATCGATGATTAATTCCTTCATTTAGGATGAGAATTTGGCCTCATGCATTTGTCATAATTTTGAGGAAACGAGACAGAATCATTATTAAAAAATCTGACATTTCGCAATCCACAGCATGGCTTTTCTCACAACTTGAATCATATCCAAAAAGCATCCAGATTCAAGATAGAATCAATTCTCCAAGATCAGCTCACGAATAAAATTTTCCTTGAAAAAAAAAAAACTGACACAAAATGTGCCTTCCGTTGCTGGCACATACGTTGAATATCATTTTGTCCATAATTCCCACGTCAATGTGAGCTTTAAAAAAAAACACACAAAAAATCCCTTCCCTCTCTTCCTAATGCCACTTGGACGGCAGCAGTTATGAATTCAAAAAAAAAAAAGCATTTCGTCAGGCACTATGAAACTGTCTCCAATCCTCGTCGTAGCTTCACTTTTTCCTGAACAAAGATGACAAGGCCTGGGCCTTGGGTACACTGAGTTTCGACAACATGGCCGATGGTGAGTGGCCCGAAAGGAGACTCGGGCTGGACCCGGTCACCGGAGAAGACGCCTTTTCAGTTTCCCGCGTCCGACTCGGAGATCCACTGGCAAACTTTGGCGCGAATGCTCCACTCAGCCAGGAAGAAGAGATTCCACTGGGGAAAGGAAACATTTTCTTCATGAACATGATCTCGGAGGTGACAAATCGACGATTTCAAGGTGCAAGAGAAAAAAATGTCTAGAATCGAATTGACAATGAAACAAATCTTTCCTGTGAGGTTTGGAAAAATATTCACTAGATAAAAATTCGAGCTTCCTCGTCGCAATAATTTTCCCTCTTGCTCTACAATGGGTCAACTTTAATAAACCTTCTCAAACTACTACACAAATAAAAAAAAAAAGAATAATTTTATGATTACCTTCCTGCGTTCTTCCTCAAAAATGAGAATAAGTTGTGAAAAGGGGAAAATATGCTTTCATCAATGCTTTACAGATTCCAACACAATTCCAAAATCAACGTCTCTATAAAAAAAATTAGGAGTTTTCTGACTTCAGAAGATGCAATTGGTTAAATTGAAACTGAGCAGATTAACAAATATTTTCTCGCGTTTATTTAAATGCGATACTGTATCCTCCAAAATTCTCCTCACCCGGAAGGTGAAGACACATTAGATCCGGGTCCATTCGCAGCAGACAGTCTGCTTGTCTTGGTCTCGAACTCTTTCCTCAGCTCAATAAGGTTATCCAAACATTCCGGGGCAACAGCTTCTGCATCAGTCATCAGGCACCTGAAATCCAAAACAGAAGTAATTCCAGTCACTCTCNAAAATTCTTGAAATTGACAGGGCATCAATTCCAAGGGTTTCCGCCATCAATCGATGATTAATTCCTTCATTTAGGATGAGAATTTGGCCTCATGCATTTGTCATAATTTTGAGGAAACGAGACAGAATCATTATTAAAAAATCTGACATTTCGCAATCCACAGCATGGCTTTTCTCACAACTTGAATCATATCCAAAAAGCATCCAGATTCAAGATAGAATCAATTCTCCAAGATCAGCTCACGAATAAAATTTTCCTTGAAAAAAAAAAAACTGACACAAAATGTGCCTTCCGTTGCTGGCACATACGTTGAATATCATTTTGTCCATAATTCCCACGTCAATGTGAGCTATAAAAAAACACACACAAAAAATCCCTTCCCTCTCTTCCTAATGCCACTTGGACGGCAGCAGTTATGAATTCAAAAAAAAAAAGCATTTCGTCAGGCACTATGAAACTGTCTCCAATCCTCGTCGTAGCTTCACTTTTTCCTGAACAAAGATGACAAGGCCTGGGCCTTGGGTACACTGAGTTTCGACAACATGGCCGATGGTGAGTGGCCCGAAAGGAGACTCGGGCTGGACCCGGTCACCGGAGAAGACGCCTTTTCAGTTTCCCGCGTCCGACTCGGAGATCCACTGGCAAACTTTGGCGCGAATGCTCCACTCAGCCAGGAAGAAGAGATTCCACTGGGGAAAGGAAACATTTTCTTCATGAACATGATCTCGGAGGTGACAAATCGACGATTTCAAGGTGCAAGAGAAAAAAATGTCTAGAATCGAATTGACAATGAAACATTAGAAAGGACACTCCAAACCTTTTTATAAGTGATCTATTTTTAAGCTCGAAGGAGCAGCGTTATTAAAAGGGAGAACGAGATGTTACCCAGTTGAAATTATTTGGAAGAGTTTGATGATGTGTTTAGTTCTTGGAACAAATTAAAAAAAAAGAGAGAATGATTTTATGATTACCTTTCTGCGTTCTTCCTCAAAAAATGAGAACAAGTTGTAAAAAGGGGACAATATGCTTTCGTCAATGCTTTACTCATTTCAACACAATTCCAAAATCCACGTCTCTGTCACAAAATTAGGAGTTTTCTGACTTCAAAAGATGCGAGATTGGCGAAATTGAAACTGGGCAGAATACAAAATATTTTCTCGCGTTCATTCAAATGCAATACTGTATCCTCCAAAATTCTTCTCACCCGGAAGGTGAAGACACATTAGATCCGGGTCCATTTCGTCGTCTGTCAGACGAACAGAACCAGAGCTTGAGAAAGGAGTCGAGTTATTCCAATAGGTTTGTAAGGCCCCGTTGTCGAAGACGTAGTCAGTAGTCCGTGGACTTTAGGTTTTGTCTTCATTAAGCAGTCACTCTCTCTTTCGTTCAAAAATTACAAAAAAATTATTCTTTCAATGCCTAAAATTTTTTTAGAAAATTCGCTCTTTTTTTAACCCAAGGAGGAAAAGCGTAAAAATCGGCGTTTGTCAGATTTTCACAAAAAATAGATTCTGATAATTTTTTCTGCACAAAAATTTCGTAAAGCATCTTAGTTTGTAATTTTAAAAACCGTTTGTTTCAGACAATTACGCTCACAAAAATGTGCGTAATTTAGCAGGTTATAAACATCAAATGCATTCATTTCAAAAAAGTACAATGGAAAATTCCCGGAAGAATCAAATTTTTTTAAATAGAAAAACATTCTCATTGAAGGTTATAGCGCCTGAAAAATGCCAGGTTTCTTCCGAGTTTATCTCATCATGTTTGCCATGCCTTGTCAAGCGTTTAAACTCACAGGCTGACTGCACTTCAAACATTTATTTTCCGTAAAATTCAGTTATTTAAGAAACGTCTCGAAGTATCACGCGAAACTTTAGTAATGTGAGTCTTTTCGTTATACTGGGGCCCTCTGACGACTGTATCAACGAGGGGTGAAAAATTGCATTTAATTAGTTGGGTGAACTAAGGCCCGTTTTCTTGTAAGCGGTGCTGTCTCAGCCAGTCCTTCGTTGTTCGTTACCGTCTTTTCCGGGGCCGGTCCCGGTCCCGGTGAACAGAAGAGGAGGCTTGGTCCGCACACCCGTTGTTTTGCACTGCTTGAGCAATCAACCACGGCAACACCACTACAACAAAAAACTCGACATGATCAGCGACACATTGAAGAAAAAAGCAATAAAAAACAACCTTTAAAAACTTACCATCGTCCCTGAATTTCGGCTCAGCTGTCACGCAAGACTTGCCAAAGGTCTCAATCAATGCAATGTCAACATAGGACTCAATCTCATCAGAGGTCAGCGGTGTGTCCTTGAGGTTGTGGAACTGAACGTAAATCTTGTCCAGAATGTCCCTGTTCATGCAGTTCTCCAAAATGGAACCAAATGCCGGCAACACGGCACACTTGACTCTCCTTCAACGCAAAACATGGACCCAATCAAAATCTTCTACTCAATCCAAGTGCACGTTAAAAAAAAAAATAAAAATTACGAAGTTATTCCTGGTTATTCGCAAAGATGACGCTTCTAAACATGAACAAACCCAGATTTTCGTTGCTTAAAATAATTGAAAATGAAATACAAGAGGAAATATCCTCGATTTATTGCCACCGGTGCCGAGTGCAACAAATTTCTTTGATAGAAATCTCCCTCCATCGTCTTCTTCCGGGAAACCACAATTTAGTGCCACAAAAAAAGCCTCGTCTTACAGACAGTCCACAGAAAAGTCCTCTCGAACAGTACACTTGATTTAGGGCCACCCTCGCTCAGGGCCACAAAAGCAAGGCCAGATCAAATGATGGCACTTACATCGAGGTAACGTAAATTAATCAACCCACTTGATTCCGGGCAAAAGAACATTCGCCACGACAGAGTCGGTCAGGAAGCAACAAGCAATGGCAGAAAAGGCCCCGGCCAGGGCCAGGGCCACTTGTCTTCTCCTCCGCTGATCCGCACACCCGTTGTTTTGCACTGCTTGAGCAATCAACCACGGCAACACCACTACAACAAAAACTCGACATGATCAGACACATTGAAAAAAAAAAAGCAATAAAAAAACAACCTTGAAAAACTTACCATCGTCCCTGAATTTCGGCTCAGCTGTCACGCAAGACTTGCCGAAAGTCTCAATCAATGCAATGTCAACATAGGACTCAATTTCATCAGAGGTCAGCGGTGTGTCCTTGAGGTTGTGGAACTGAACGTAAATCTTGTCCAGAATGTCCCTGTTCATGCAGTTCTCCAGAATGGAACCAAATGCCGGCAACACGGCACACTTGACTCTCCTTCAACGCAAAACATGGACCCAATCAAAATCTTCTACTCAATCCAAGTGCACGTTAAAAAAAATTACAAAGTTATTTCTGGTTATTCGCAAAGATGACGCTTCTAAGCATAAACAAACCCTGATATTCGTTGTTTAAAATAATTGAAAATGAAATACAAGAGGAAATATCTACGATTTATTGCCACCTGTGCGGAGTGCAACAAATTTCTTTGAAAGAAATCTCCCGCTATTGTCTTCTTCAGGGAAACCACAATTTAGGGCCACAAAAAAAAGCCTCGTCTTACAGACAGTCCACAGAAAAGTCCTCTCGAACAGTACACTTGATTTAGGGCCACCCTCGCTCAGGGCCACAAAAGCAAGGCCAGATCAAATGATGGCACTTACATCGAGGTTTGCGTGCACCCTGTTCTTGAAAAATAAGGGAAACACACTCACGGATCGTGGTCATTGACCAAAGTGACCAACGCCGGGAGGATCTTGGCCCCAAAGTCAGAGTTGTCCATCGACGCGAGGTGTCCGACGGCAGCGGGCAAAACCGCACCAGTGGCACTTCTCACGCCAGGGTTCGGGTGTGTGACCAAGGCCCAGACGCAATCCACCAACACCTGCGTGGCCCCAGGACACCTTTTGGCAACCAGCTCAAAGCACTTGGAAATCACGTCCAAGCTTCTGCTTTCAACTTCCCCAGTTCCACAAACAACTACTGCCTTCTCCAACCATCTTCTCACTTCCTTTTTGGCTTCCACCTGCGCGTAGAAAATTCAATCATCATGACAGCGACGTTCCAAGTAGGAAAAAGAATTTGAAAATTATTTTAAAGACGTAAATAGAAAAAAACAAAAAAAACTGTTTCGTATAATGAATAAAAATCCTCGGAAAACTCGATCAAATCTGCGTTTGATGAGAAACGGACGCTCATCGAATCGAAAAACTCACGCTGGAATTGACCAATAAAACGCCCACCAAATACACCGGTAAACAAACTCCTTTGAAGGCTAAATTTGCAAGCTTCACGGGTTCCTCAAAGCCACCATCGAAGCTGATTATTCGCAAAAACTCTGGCTTCACCTGCGAAATTTCCACGCGGTCTCGTGTATCGTAATCAAAATTAATTTTAAATCACCAAGTACTCACCGCGAAGTCGGTGAAATCGGATCCAAACAGAAAACAAACTTCAGCTGTTAAATCAATCAAGGTATCACAAGCTTCCTCCCATTTTGAATCCAATTTTAAAGCTGTGTCTGTCAAAAATGGAGCCCTGCAAAATAAATTCATCGCGTTATTCTCAAATCAGGAGGAGAACACCATTATTCTCACTACAACACCTAGAAAGAATTATTTAAATATAGAAAAATTCCGGACTAGGTCATTCGCTTGCTTTTTTTTATTCACACATTTTTCATCTTTCAACTGGATCATAAAAATAGCTTTCAGCGAAAATGCCAAAAGTTCAAGTCATCATCACAGCAATACAAAAAAAGGGTTTCCAAGTGATAAGAACCAATTTTCAAATCGAAAATTACTCACAGAATATTTGCTGACCAGGATAAAACCTCAGAAGAAAAAGACACGAAAAAATCCGGGGTTTTAGTAGACTTGTAAAAATCCTTCACAGCCCTTTGTAAAACAGGGTCACGGCCAATAATCGTCGCTAAATCACACAACCTTCCGTCTTTGTAATCTGGAGATGAATGGGAAAAGTAAATAACTAAAAATTGTCATTTTTCCTTTCGAATATGTCTCGAATCACCTGAATTCACGATATTAACAAAATCATCCTCCTGGTCTTCCTCAGAACTCTTCGATGCTTGAGCACAGCATCGAACGAATAAGAACGGAACACAGACTTTCAGTCGGTCCACGTCCTGCATCAGTTTCTCCATCAACGCTTCGTCTCCAATCTGAAGGGATTTCAGCTTTTTCTAATTCTGAATTTTAAGAAAAAAAGATGCAATATTCAAACAAACTCACTCTTAGAGCTGCTTCGACGGACCCCATGAAAGTATGTGCCAAATGAGAGTGCAGTTGGTTAACTTGTCCAGCCCATGCAGCAAAAGTTGGGAGCAAAACGTTTCTGCACGCCGTTGTCACTCTTTTGCTCACGTCCAACAGCCCCATGCAAACCGCTTCAGAAATCTTGACATTTTCACAAATTTTAGGTTAATAATCTTCAATATCAAAACATCTTTTTCATCAAAATTTTAAACCTGATAACGCGAACCTCCTTTTTAAAGTCCGTTTTAATTCCTTCAGAAATAACACATTAAAAACCTCCCGACCTCAAAAAGCTTTCCTCCTCAAACCTCCATAAGTCGAATTTTCTGAAGGCTTTTTTCCTGTTGTTTTATTGGCACAGGAAAGAAGAAAGCAATAAAAATTTAACTTCATGTTTTTTTCATGAAAGTGAAACAATGGGTAATTAAACCATTGCCTCCAAGTTCAGCATCCTCTCAACTCATTTAAGAAGCAATTGAGGTCACATAATATACAGTAGAGTATCACCAATTTCCTGTTCATTCTTCTTTCACAAAAACGCTTGCTTCCTTCACTCGAATATCTGTTGTTGGTCCCTTGAAGTTGACAATACTGTACTATCTTTCGATTATACTTGTCCATCATTATTGCAAAAATGTCTGTGGGTGTCATCCGTTTAAATTTGAAATTGAAAAATTACAAGTTGGATTCGCTCAGCGGTTCTTCGCACAAAAGTAGTGCCAGGGTAAAATAAGAGGGATGATGAGTTCCACGCGCAATTTTTTTTTTCCTTCGACTCACTCAAGAAAAAGTTTTCCGGCTTCATGCAATTCATTTGACCTTCTTCCCCACACATTTTCGAAAAAAATTCATAATAACGCCTGCATAAGTATAATTCACGTTTAAAAAAAAAAACGAAGACAAACACACAAAAATTGCCAACATTTCCAACACAGGAAACACATTCACAAAGCAAGCTTACCAACAAGTATTTCGACGCGTCTCCCATCAAGGCAACAATGAAGGCAAGAGACCTGAAGGCAATGTCTCGAACACACTCATCGCGGTCCTCAATCAACTGCATCACCATGGACAACATCAGAGAGTTCCTCATCCCTGGCTTCAAGCACACAACCGAAGCATTAATTTTCAGGCTAATGTATACAAAAATTGATCACAATTTCCAATCAACGGTATTTTTCTCTCTCACCGGAACAAACGCGGCCAGGACACCACAACATTCAGCCACCAGAAGCCGCCTTTCGGGGTACTTGTGATGTATTTGTTCCCAGCACTGCGGCAGTACTTCGGCTTCGATCCGCACTGCGTCGCAGGACTTGGCAAGCTCTACAAAACCTGTAAAAAAACCAACGAAATCAAAAATGTCAAAGCCACAGAAATTAATCAAAATGTTTCTTTTTGGAATCTGCCTCCACAACCTGAAAACTTCAAGTGTATTGCAGATAGATAAGTTAAGACACTTTATTTACTCAATTACCACAAACACACCTTTCTTCAAAACTAAAAGCAGAAAAGATTATGCTTGTCACAGACAGATGAACTATTTTACAAAATTTCAAAACCTTTGGTGCGCATCATACTTGATTCTTAAAGGGAATTTTGACCAATTTCTAAAAACTGATATTTTAAAATGTATGGAAACAATGTAAAAATACATTTTTGTAAAAAGCCAAAATCAAAATACCGTGTTTTGTTTTCAAAATACAGTATCGTATTTACTCAAGTACCACGTGCTCTTGAGTATGATATGGTAGTTACCTTACTTTTTTGCAAGAAATTTGCACAAAAATGCATCCCGGCGTAGGACACAAACCTCCACACTTACATGATCAAAAATCTTTTTCTTTAAAAATGTGATGTACAACAAAATATAGTAATTCCCTAAATAATTATGAGTTAGAGCATTTCAACTGGATTGGAGCCGAAAATTCCTTGTTCACTATTTGAAACTGCGAAGTAATCACTTATGGCTTTTACTAATAATTTCCCATTTTTTACTCCAGAAAATGGATTACCCGCATAAAACACAGACTTTCGCAGAAAGAAGGATTGCGTGTAACTCGAGTAAACACCGTATTGCAATTTTTCATCAGGAAAAATTTAAATGCGCAAGAAGCTTGGGCAAACTATTGTTTGGTCAGCTTCAGAAATAAATGACAAAAATATAATATTTTACCCAGCAAAATCTGGTTCCTCTGTGCAACATCAGGCCGCTTGATCAGGTTGAATAGCAGATGCAGCAACTGATCCCGAACTTGGTGGTCTTCATGAAAATTTATCCCACATAAGAGCAGTGGAATCAGCTCCTGTAAAACAGAAATAATTATTCTGCAGACAGATCATCAGGCAGATTTTTCATGTCAAAGCCAAATTTCCCTACAATTAGTACTTCTTTAGCTGTCACACCAGTGTCACCATATATAGTCTCTAGCTCATCAGGCCTAAATCAAGATAATTCAGGACATTTCTGGGCCACATTTCATTTTATGGGACAAGAAGCGAGGTCAGAGGATTAATGAAAATAATATTCGCAACCAGTTCATCTGAAATTACTTGTGACGCACCTGTCTTTTGGCTAAAAGAACGTTTGGCACGACAAGAGGCAGCGACTCGGCTAGAATGTGCACCACTTTCGACCCTTCCCTGAGCTCGGTCTGCTCGCATACCGGGTCAGACGAGGTTAAAGCTCCCAGTACTCTTTCCACCAATGCTTCAGGTACACATGACTTGACCAGCTCCTCCTGGAAGCATCTTGACAAACACCTAAAAACAAAGCGGACATTCTCAAACCAGATTCTTCACCACACTTCAATACAACGAGCTTCTTAAAAAAAACGACGAGGCTTAAAAAAAAAAAGGATGATAAATGACAGGGAATTTTTACATATCTTTTGTTGAAGAGGGAAGAAAAAAAAATACGAGCACCCAACAAATGCATCATCAACGAGCATTATCAAAAAAAATTTGAGAAAATTCTAAAGAATAGCCTTGCTTTATTCAAGTAGAGTTGGTCTGTTCTCTACAAAAAAATTATCTTTTAAACGAATTATCATGGCCCCTTGAATTCCGTATTTTCCCTGTACAACGAAAATTTCTTTGGTCCCATAGGGTTGCATCCCAGTTCGTAGGGAAAATTTTTTTACAGGAAAATCTCACAAGGATTTTCTACAGAAAAAAAAAAATTAGTTTTCGAGAGAATTGCATTTCAGAGATCCCAATAAAATTGGGAGTCAACCCCATCAGAGCAAACTAATTTTTTTTTACAGGAAAAATGTTTTGAATCGTTATAGGGAGAGACAGAGAGTCCACCTATATTCGTTGATGATTCACAAGAGGCACTTTTGAAAAATCAAGTCAGCAAAAGCCTTTACTTTTTTCTGAGATCGACACATGGAAGCGATTTGGGCGTCTTCTCAATAAACGGCGGCTCTATGGGACTCGACGTGGACCGCGGTTCGACAGAAAACTGCGGCTCTTCTTCCTCGCTGAGATTGTCGACAACGTCGCCACCACAGCCGCCGTCGTTGCCGCCACTGTCCCGAACCACAGCCGCGTTGTCTTCATCATCAGTCTGCGTGGCAGCATCGACATTCGGCACTTTCCCAGTAACTCGAAGCAATGACACGAGGCTCTGTGATCGAATCCGACCTCTTTCCGCTTCAGTCGCCATTTCCGCGGTCTCTGCAAACGCCAACGACGCCAACTTGTGTCCGTGGGCATTCAAATACGCATTCACGAGAGAATTTAACACTCGTATTTCCCAGGGACACAAGGCGTTCATTGTTGTCGTCAACGTCGCCGTCGTCGTCGACAACGGGGAGGCGTCATCGCTACGCGGTGTCACAAGCTCGGAGGCGTCCTTTTGCAGCGATGCGATGACTTCTCTGGCTTTTCTCAATTCGAATTCAAGGACTGCGATCCTGTCGTTGACGGCGGCGTCGGTGTCGTGGATTCGGATGCCGTCGAAAGAGTCCAACGTCGCTTGGCTTCCAGAACGTTCTTATAAAAAAAAAACAAAGATAACATTGGGTAAAACAGAAATCACACACACACGGGTTGATTCATAATTTCCGTGGCCAATTGTTGTATCGAACACCGGATCATACGCTTGATTTAAAGAAATACGAAAGCTTCGGAACTTTTGAAAGCGAACACTCACTCCAACCAAACAAGGTTTACGGCGTCACTTTTACTTTTCATGAATTTTTAGTCTTTTTTTTTATTAAGAAAGAAAAAATCAAGAAATACTGTAATTGGTGATGTTCTGAACCTTAAATTGCTTCTTAAATTAGTTAACAGGATGCTGAACGCAGAGGCAAGGTTTAATTTACCCAAAAAGTCTTTCACTTCCCTTCAAAAACATCCACTTACATTTTCAATATTTTTCTCTTTTCCGTGTCAATAAAATATTAGCCAAGAAGCCTATAGAAAATTCGAGTTAGGGAGCTTTCAAAGTCAATGTTTTTAAGGGAATTCAGACAGGGATTTGAAAGAAAAAATCGACGTAGGGAAGTATTTCGACTTAGTTCGAGTTTTCGAGATTTATTTATATTATTCGGAAAAATATGTCGTGACTCAGGATCGTATTTTACTTCATTAATTTACAACAAACTCACGGATGCTGAAGGAAGACCGGGAATCTGACTGTTCTAAAGTTCCAGCGGCCAGCTCGAAGTTGGTCGGGTTCGCGAAAAATTCGCGTAAAACCTTGAGCTCTCGACCACGTTCTAGTAACTCAGCATGGAACTCCAGTGCCGTAAGCAAGTAATTCTCCTGCAACAGCTTCTCCGCCACCGCTGTCGCATCCATCACAGAAGCACTAACACAAAACCCAGTCACTCAATATCACTGCTAAGATACACAACAACGACACAAGACCATCAGAAGTGGATAAATTCTTAGTTGACGCAGCTCTTCTTTCTGTTTCCCTAACAATGGCAATCAAAATAATCTTACCTTATACTAAAATAACCCAAGAGATCCTCTTACTAAACGAACCTGACCCAACACCGGATTTAGTCAGTCATTCAGACTCCAAGGAACCCTCTCTACAACTATCAGATGCGACTTTAGAGACACGTCTACTTGCAGACACTTTGTTTTACGAAGAGAAAACACAACTTTATTCGAAATCACTGCGTCCCACGCATCACACAAGCGACTTGGTTCGAAAAGCACTTGATAACATTAGCAGCGAGAACCTCGAGATTCCGACGCCGCTTCTCGGGATTCGGGTGCCAACTCGGCCCCAAAATGTAGGCCAAGTCCAACTTGACGCCGATCGACGTCTTGTCATCGTTGTTATTCTGCACACTGGCCTTTTTCTTCTTGTCTCGCACGTAGTTGCGCAAATTCCGCACGAACGGGAAGATGAGGTAAAAGTTTGCACTTTGTTCAGTCACTAGTTTCTTGTGGGTGGGAAGCTCGTCCACGCGGAACCACTGGAGTTTCCCGATTTCTCCGACAGTTCTCGGGCCGAAGGAGAAATCCATGGGAACTCCGCGAGCAATGAAGAGTCTGGAGCCGAATCTGAAACCGTCGGGTGACGAGCCTTCGATGAACTCGTCACGCGAGATCATGTCGGAAACGTTGAATCCCGTCTCTTCGTACACTTCTCTGGCAGCACACGCAACTTCGTCTTCTTTCTCGTTGATCTTGCCACGGGGGAACGACCACGAAGATCCCTGAAAAATAAAAAACACGTTGAACTCATCAAAACGAAGACAAATCAGTCGGTTGGTAACTCCCACTTCTCGAACTGAAGCAGCAGGCACTGGATTTTACGGAACGGAGGAGACTCACGGGTTTCACGCCACGGACGAGAAGAACATTGTCCATGGCTTCGTCAAGTAAAACTGCACCGAAGGTTGGGACACGGGACTTGTAATTCTGCCAGTCAGAAAACACTTCGTCAACTTCGTGGCATTTGGCCTGAAGAAACGGCACGTGATGGAAAATGTGGCGCGCGAATTCCTTCAGACTACACGGCCTCATCCCGGCGCTTTCAGCTTCCTTCAGGATGTGGTCCAGATAAAACCAATGTCCAGCTTCGATCTTGGAAATAAATAAACCATGAAACAGTGAACGTAATGAAGGATTGATGATCACTGCACGACTCACTTGAAAAAGAACGCGGTTGAGATCACTTTGCCAGGCTTCAGGGATATTGAGGACGAATCGGGAGCAAACATCGTCCAACGCAGCCCGTGGAAGGAAATGGTTAGACGAAGGAGTTTGCTGAACGATTCCCACCTCGGAATTGGATTCATTGGGTCGGGTAGACTGGTTCGGGCGGATTTTCACTTCACTGGCCGTGACTAATCTGCTCTTGATGACCTTGTTCTTTACCTTCAACATTTTGCTTTCTAACTCTCACCGATCGCGGCAAACAAAAAGCGTCATTGTACCTCCAAGGAGATCGACGATAACTTTGATCTCTGGGAAAACAAAAATGACGGGAGGAGGGCACCGTTAGACGACTGAAAAATGACTGAAGCACAACTCCTACGCGAGTGACGAGCACGTGTTCTCGATCAGAATTACGAGATTTATCAACTGAGTAAGATAACGATCGACAACGATTTGTGTTCATTGGGAGAGGCAGGCGGGCAGCGCTCAAAGAATTCTGAGACTCCCCGTAGGTGACGCTCCCAAAGCGTCAGGAGTTGTTGTCAGGATCCCCTCATGTGTCAGTAGTTTTTTTCTGCCAGCGGTCTATAAAACGTTCTTAGAATTATTTTAGCAATTTAAATAATATTGGTTCACAATTACAAACTTGCTTTTCTTTCGTTTCTCCAAAAATCCTTCGTCACACTTTGTAATCTTACCAGAAGTCTCGCAGGCTTAACTCATACTGTAATACACACACTATTTGAAATGTGGATGATACAGTACAGTATTTACAGCAAATTAATGATAAATTGGACCCTGTATCTATCTATCTAACACAACAGAAATATTTTCGAAAATGTATTTATTTCAACATTTGCTTTCTCATTTGAAAACATTTCCAGAGATTTTCACTGCATGATTATAGTAAAAATTGAATAAAATATGCTGGCGTAGAGCAGAAATAAAGTTTTCAATCAGCCCACAAAATATGTCCCTTCCAAAATACAGTACAGTATTTTAATCACTATTTAAAAATGTAAAATACTGTACATGAAACATACGATCAGCACACTACATTTACATTTCCTTCGTCAAGCTAAGGTTTTTATCATTATAGTATAATTGTTTACATTGTAATTCATTGCTGAGTCATTATGAACACACTAATCACTAAATACAGCCTATAGCTGTTCAAACAGCAGTAAAAGTTAGCAGCAAGGAATAAGTGGAATGCAATCAGTCACTCTCTGTTTTCAAAGTTACCATGCAACAGGCAATACGCTCATCTGTCAAACTTGACTGATGATGGTCGTGAATTCATTTCCTTTATATATGGCGCAAATTTACAGCATTCAAGAAATGCAGCCAGGTCGAAGTTTTCAGGAATGTGAAGAAATAATGAGTTCCGGATTTTTTTCCAAAAACAATTTGAAAAAATAATTGTAGCGGTTTCCAAAAGCTTATCCTTACATGATGACAATAAAGCATAATCCCTATTTATTTTGCTCATTATGGTGTGAGAGCATCTCCGTGAAGAAGCACAACGTGAACATTCACATTATTCAAACAAAAAGTAGATGTCGCTAGAAAAGCCCTTGAAAAATTGGGCCTAGAAATTTTCTGCGCCTTCTCTCTTCTTTGACTGCATTCATTTTCTTGGATTAAATCCATTTCGTAGAGATCCCATTTCTCCTGAGATTCTTCAGATTCAGTTAAAAAGCAGAGATATGAAGACTACAGTATTCTATAGAAATTGGCCATAGTGTCATTTCGAACAGCATGCAATATACAGTATATATGAGCTGCAGCAACAGGAGCAATAAAATATACAGTATAGATAATGATCCTTTGCCTAGAAATCAAAGTTACCTAATTCTCCTAAGATGGACTATCTCTCTCTCTCTCTACAACGAAATCCAGGGAACCAAAAAAAAGTGCGTTAAAGAGAATCTCTATTATATAAGCGTAGCAGAGAAAACCTCACAAGCCTATAATAAGCAGTGGACCAAAACAAATTATAAAGAAATAAATGGGTGTAGGCAGTAAGCTTACTGTAAAGAAAGTGTATCTGTTTAATGTAAAAAAAAACAAGAAAGATGTGATTGCTATGAAAAATGGGCAAATCATTGCGATTCTGCACCCAAGAAATGGTGTACCATATATTAACCTGTATGAATATATATACAGTATACAGTACAGTATATACAGTCCTATATGCACCCCTGATGTGATGGATGAGATCCCTGAATATTTCATGTGATATTAGAAACCCGTCATTGATTTGTGCTCCACTGCATACCCATTTTCAAGTCATATATACTTTTTGTGCATACTGTACATACTATATATGTGCACCAGGTTAAACTGGGTCAAGGTGTGTCTCCCATATTCCCAATAGCAGATGCGCACGCAACGGCGTTTTTCAGCAGCAGCATTAACCCCCAAACAGGGACTGCTTATCTTGACCTAGTTTCCTCCAGGTCATTTAAAATGCAGGTACATGCTGCGCCTAGACCCTTTTTTGTGGGAGCTGGCGGGGTGGGGTTTTTTTGCTGATGGCCTTGGGTATTTTCCACTCAGTGTCACCCGACCCTTCTTTCAAGATATATTGCATCTGTCCTTGTAAAAAAAAAAAAAACGTTTCTCACCTTTTTCACAGAACCCTTTCCATCTGGCTCAAACTGTTGTTCTTATTCCTGAGAGAAAATAAGTAGTGGAAAAGTACCAGGAATCCCTCAGAGGCCCTGACTAAGTGTATTGTCATGTGCCCTGTAGAATCACTAAATATTGAATAAGAGTGCGGTAATAGTCCTGAGCCCAGTGCTGGAGGTGAATGGAAAATACCCAGCCCACAGGACATCATTCATGGAAGTGGCGCAAAATTTTTGTTCTTGTGTCCCTTGTTTTCTGAGGCCATCGTTTCTTCACTGATTCTTCCACTCTTGAAGCCTGAATAAGATTTACTGTGATTCATGTTTGTGTAAGGATTTCTGTATTAGGAAAAATGTGCATCATGTATTCCAACGGTAAAGCTAGTGGTAGAGTAATATTGGGGAAATAGTGGCACTTTCAAAAAAGCTGTACCAGGAAATTAACCGGGCCTCGCTCGACCGACACATGGAAGGTATATCCCTGGGCGGACGGGGAGTGTCGGGTTGCCGGCGGGGTGGCACTCGCTCTCTTTCTTCCGTACACCGCTTACTGCCCTCCCCCCCACAGAAACAGTCGTACTCCCTCGTTGGCTACCCTGCTGGGAGTCTCACTCAGTCCCGTCGCTGATTCAGCCTCAGTGTCGCACCGGACGCCGAATTGGAAGGATGTCGAACTGTGCAAAATTATTGGGGGGATAATGGCTCGCCGGTTCGATTCCAGAATGTTCTACGACAGTTTCCTGAGAAATGTACCGGGGATCCCTGCCGCCATTTCCGTGACCTTCGATTTGCCGTCGGCCATGTCGCATTGCGAAATGTTTGTCTCTCAATCGCAACTTGAATCTTCTCGATGCATTGTACAGGAAAGCATTCGAAATTTCCGTGAGTTCATATCAACACGATAGTTCGCGTGAAGTTAATTGTGTCATATGCGGACGAGTGGAAAGAGAAGCTTCGTTGAGGAAAGTGACGTTGTTCTGAGCAGAATCTAGCAATATGTCAAGCAAAACTTCTACTAATGCGACGTCGTCGGTGCCGAAAAGTTCGTCACCGCTCGTCGTTGTCGCCAATAGACTCCCGTTCATCTTGCGCCGAAACGAAGAAACGGGGGAGTTGGAGCGCAAACAATCGTGAGTACCTGATATCTTTAGAATGAGAACTTTCTTGTGAGGATTCGTGTTCCCTCCCGTATATTTCTGCGAACGGGGTTTTTCAACTGGGCGTTTTTGTTAGAACAAGCTGCCGTCACATTTCCGGTGTACTTTAGGATGTATTATAATTCTTTTTATTGCAGTCTTGATGTTGCAGCAATTATAACTCTCTTTAATCGGGTGAAGCGCAGGTTCAATTTCGCGGATGCATCTGATGTTCGTTTTTTAACTCTTTCACGCCTTCATCAAATTCCGAGTTTCGAATTCCTCGCAACTTCTCGCCAAATGAAGTCGTGATTATGATGGGAGATAAATCATCCGCTAATGTTTGATTTTCGGAAAAGTGTAATTTATTTCGATTCGTCTGTAATTGGGAAACACTGTTACTGTGTGGTGTTTTCCGATTCAAAAGTTGAAATTCTAGACTTCAGAGGGCGAATAAGTTGTTAGAGGGTGAAATGAATTGACGATAGAGTGAGGAAGGAAAAAATCAGTGGACCTTTCATCACTTTCTGTGATCATCCATTCATTGAATCATTCATAAATCACGTAAGAGAGTCAGGTTCTTATTCGGTCTGAAGCTTTGAAATGGAGTTCGCCGATACGGAAACTTTTTTCTGCAGTACTTTTTGAAATGGCCTTGACGAGGCTTTGATTACTGAACGGAAAACACGGAGTAATTTTGCAGTACTGCATTTTAGTGCTTTTCAGTTGCAATAACTTGAATCCTTCGAGCCCCAGTTGAGCATTTTCGAGTCTGCGCTCCACCCAAAGATTGAAATTTCTTTCTTTTTTAAATTATGAAATATTGGTGCATTAATGAAAAACTTTCGCTGTAGTACTCGAAATTTAATCATGGACTGAGTACATCTGTGTTGTGTCTAGTGCACGGAATTTGAAGTTGAATATCGATGACGAAGAAACTTGATAATTTTTTTGGATTGCCTTTGGTCATGCTGAGTGATTTGCGTTTTTGGTGCACACAGAATTCCTGCTTTATTTTGTTTTCCTTTTGGATAACCCGACTTGTCAGGTGGCAGTTCCGCTGGTACGTGACCTCGCTTAATATTTTTTTTTATGCATATTATTTGTGTCAGACTTTCTGATGGGTCTCCTAAATTTCTTCCTTATTTTCTTTTTCATGCGCAGTGCTGGAGGGTTGGTTACAGCAGTTGCCCCAGCCGTGTTGGCGTGTGATGGGATGTGGGTCGGCTGGCCCGGGATGCATGTCGAAGATCCCACGGAACCCATCCCGGAATCTTCGCCCGAGGACAAGGCGCCGACTGCTGGACTCCGATCCGACCAGGTACTGCTTCAGCACGTTTCTTTTTTGGGGCCCCCCGAGATGGTGTACTGTATTTGGACTTCATATCCTCACTCCATATGTTCGCTTGTTGGATCACGTTTTCCCGTGGACTTCAATGGCAACATAATTAATTGGTTCTCGAGTTCATCAAAAATTTGGGGAAAATTTAATAGAAATTTCCTTCTCCACTGCAGGAGACACGGAATAACTGTAAAAAAATATCTTTTTAAAATTGAGACCTATCGAAGCAAAGAAAAAGCGCAAAATTGGCCTTTTTGGATTTTAGTGAATTTAGAACAAAATTCAATTTTAATTTTTATGCATAAGAGAAGCTCCAATGTGTTTGAGATTGAAAGAAAATATTAGAAAAAATTTTCTAGGAATTTGGGGAACTTTCCACATCTTTAGACATTTTCCAGTTTTTGGGGCTGATTTATCAAATTATCTAGATTGAATCAACCTAATGTCTGGTCATACTCTTATGGTCCTACTATAAATTCCTTTCTGGAAAGAGGTCACTAGGTCAGGAAGCCTCCTGGGTGAACTCTAGTATAGAATCCCCATAAAAGGAAGAGAAAACCCTATGGAACTAAAAATAAATTCTTTATACAGAGAAACGCATAGTGGACAAGGTTGTTGTAGTGAGAGAGAGAGGAATGACCTATGATCAAGGTCTGCAATTGAGGTGTCATGGTGGATGACTGAGAGAGACAGTCAGAGAAAGTGTTGATATATTCTGAGGATTGCGATTTCCTGGAGTTGGACAAAATACACGACTTTAATCTTTCCCCTTCTGTGGAAAAACTCTTTTTTTTTCCTCCCTGCTGATTCATCTGCACGAGGGCCTGGGTGCAGAAAAGAAGGTCGGGTTCGTGGAACTCTGGTGGCAGAAGGACGATCGTAACATGATACGTGTTCCACATGTGGCGAATCCGTAGATTTTTCTGGAATTTGCGTAGGAATTTTGTTTGGGTTGGAAGTCTTCGCAGCTACATAACAGGGCTGTGGATGGGAAAAGTGATTCAGGCCTTTATGTTGCGCGCGCATCACAAATGGCTGCCCCCACTCTCTTTCTCTCTGTCCCACGACTTCTTGATTTATTTCCAACCCCCGACCTCTCTTGAAAGTCTTGAAGACCGGTTTTATTTAATGCGCTTCAGGCCCATGGCGCATGACTCATGAACTATACAACACAGCGCGGAGACCAAGAAACTGTTGATCAGCGTCCAAGGACTTCCTCGTACCTGCTGATTGGGGGGGATGAGGACCATGGTGTAACTTTTCGTCTTTTCTTGAACCTCAGGATTTTCGTTGTTCTTGTTCTGCTTTGTCCTCTCCTGTCGCTTCTCGTGTTGTATAAGCGAGGTCACAGGGATTTTTTTCATTATTTTTATTCACGCCCATTTCCGCTTTTGTTTGTGTGTGTATGCATTTCCGAGAAAATTCATGGCGCCATTGTAGAGAGAAGTTTTCTGTGGAAAACGACTTTAACGTGCAGAAAGAAAAACCTATGGGACCAGGAAAAAATCCATGTCGAAAAGATCAGTATTATAAATTTTTTTAAAAACTAATTTTGTATTTTTTTATTTACTTGCAGGTGGTCGCTGTCAATATTGACAAGTCCTTTTTCGACTCGTATTACAACGGCTGTTGTAATGGGACATTTTGGCCTCTGTTCCACTCCATGCCTGACAGAGCCATTTTCAGTTCTGAACACTACCAGGTGCGAATTAGTTCGAACTCTGTTTATTTTTCTCTTTTGACAAGGAAATGAGGACTTTGAGATTTCAAGTCCCGCAACTTCTGGGGTTTGTGTGTCATTGTGTAAATGTCTCATGAATTTTTTGAAGAACGGGGTAAAATAGACTGGGTTTCAGTGAGAATGGTGGCCTTGATTTTGTGGAGGTTCAAGTATTCTGAGGCTTAGTTCCAATGACTGTTGATTTTAATTTTGAATGATTTAATTTTAGCTGAAGCAAACCTCTCTGCAAAATTAGACTCCGACAGGCTTCAAGTTATGAAGGTTATGGAGGAATAGGGCTGATGATGCTTGGGTCAACACAAAAATAAAGTTGGGGAGGTTTTTGACTTGGTTCAAGTGAAAGAGGACTGCCTGCATGCGCATACAGTAAATATGCAAGTACCATGAACACATTTGTTTCCAAGGAATTGGGGCAAAAAAATGAGGTGTACATCATATTCAAATGCACATTCTCATGATTGGAATTCGTTGAAAAAATGCTCTCCCCACTGAACGTTTTTTTGAAGGACTATTCTTGATGATTCTGCATGAGAAAAAAAAAACATCAATGTTGAATGGCAATCTGAAATGGATTATACAGTATTCAGATTTTTACTCAGTGCAGTTTTTTAAAATGTGCATTCTTTCTGCAACTGGTAACTGAGGTCTGGGTCCATCTCCTGATGACATTTCCCACCCCCTCCCCTGCTAAAAATCTCGCTAAAGATCAAGTTTCTGTCTCTCTTGAGGACATGTGGTACTTGAGTAAATACAGAATCAAAATTACAGATTCAGAGAATTCCTGTCAGATATTACAGAACATAAGTTGAGTTATTGCAGTTAACAGAATGAAGAAAAAATACTGTGATTAATTGTGCGAATTCAAGTCTTGTGGGAATGATGTTCATGAAGATATTGTTCAAAAATCACGCTTTTATTCGTAACTTATGTTATTACTGAATAGTAATAATTTAAAGAAGTAATTAAAAATTTCCCCCTTTTGTGATGAAAGATGATGCTGAAATTGTTGGAGATAGGAATCAAGAAAAAATGCGGGAGGTTTCAGTATGAATGATACGCAGGAATCGCTGAATAGCCTCACGTTTAAACTTCCCCATTCACATGCTTCTTTGTTTTCTCTCTGGTGCATTCATCCCGTTTAAAGAATTTCGTGTGTGTGTGTGTCACGTCGGAATTTAAACCTTATTCTTGGATTGAATGACAGGCCTACACTCATGTGAATGAGCTTTTTGCCGAGGATACGATGAAGGCATTGAAGAAGATCACTAGCAGACCGGGTGTGCAGGCGGGTGACAAACATTTGCCCATTATCTGGATCCATGATTACCACCTCATGCTGGCTGCCAACTCTATCAGGGCTGTTAGTATATGTCATTTACTTCTTATCTGTCTAATGAGATCAAACATGCAGTCATTGATGGTTTATGTTGTGCTAATTGCTGAGCATTCCATGGATTCACTTCTGGCCAAGTATTTCTCTGGGAAAATTGTTGCAAGATGTGAAATAATTGTTGAGATTTGTGTGTGATATACCTTTGACTGATTGATTGGTAAATGTTCTTTAGTTGCTGCCTGTCAACATTCTCAAGGTTCAAAAATGTTGTCCCATGTTGTGAGTTAAACTCTTGATGTTTGTTGGATGACCTGACTTCATCAAGGTGAACGAATAGATTTGTAGTCAAATGGATATTCAGTCAACCTTTAATACAACATTCTCTGATTTGATGGCTCTATTTTTACAGTGCCACAAATTTCCCTGGAACAAATCTCTCTCCATTGTGTTATTGAGTAAAACCGCAATCTACTGCCAAGTGCCAACTCACTTTGTGCCACAACAAATTTCTTGTCCCAAATTAAAAAATAAGCCCAAATCCAAAGACATTTTGGGCTTTTGTAGAAATATCACATGGTAGTTACTGAGAAGTACATGCCCATGCTCCAATAGTTTTGAAAATTTTCTTGACAAAAAAATGTGCTTTCTTTGAAATGTTGATACAAGGGTAAACTCTGGTTTTTTACTTGATAAATATGTGAAAAATGCAATTTATTTCATATTGCTAAATAAATTGAAGAACTGTTTGAAACAGTTCATTTGAGACTCGAAGTATTTCTTGTGGCTTTTCCTCTTGAAAAAATCATTCAGTGGTCCGACAATTCTGCAAACACGTCCATTGTTCTTAGTGTAGAAGCCCTCAGCAAAACTTTCCTTTGATACAATGCTGGCTTAGTGTCACAAAATGTGCAGGAAAAATGATAGCCCTAAATTGAGGTTTGACTGTATATATTTATAGATTGAAAAAATTTAGACAAATGTTCTGGTTGATTATGTACCTTTTTGAACAGAATGTCAATTTTTTGTCGCATGAATTCGAGTTTAGAATATGTCAGAAAGAGACGTGTTTTTCTTTTTCTAAATTCAATCATCTGATTGGCGAAGCTGAATTTCTTGTTGTTGTTCAAGTTGATGACTCGTGATGTTTATTCCTTCCAATTTTCATGATTGCATGTTCACCACGCAGTCATGTGAAGAAGAAGACATCAAGTGCAAGTTGGGGTTCTTCCTCCACATCCCGTTCCCACCATGGGACATCTTCCGTCTTTTCCCATGGGACGACGAGATCCTCCAGGGCATGTTAGGTATGTTACAGTGTAAGCGAAATGCTGTGTCAAAAGAAACTCGTTTCGATTCAATTAAGAAAAAAGAGAAATGAGGGAATCATCGCCGGCTACTCGAGACCAAAGCTCGTTCTGTAAATAAGCTGCTGGGTGAAACCGGAGATCACCTTACGCCACTTTTGTGTTGCTGCCTCATCGTCGCTCTTTTCCAAGATGTTGTTGAGGAATACTGTGATGTATTCGGTTAACCCTTTTGATAGTGTCGGGTTTCCATCGCTCATCTCCTGTCATAATGGAAGATCTCTCGCTTCCTTGATGGAAGGAAAAAAATGGCTTTTGAAAAATAAAACCAGTCGTTTCTCGTCGTCTTTGAGACGATCATGCACGTTATTGCCGAGGGAAATAGCATTGAAAAACCTTTCTTTTGTAGTTTCATTTCATGATTTTTATTTTGTGACTGTTTGACATTGAAGGCATGGGTCGCCTGAATCACGAATTTGACTGAAATTAAAGATTCAATCTAACTTACGAATTCCGATGTTTCGAATGGCCTCCATTTGTCGAATAATTTTTGAAGTACCTTTCTGGATTCTCTGGAAAATAATGTATTTAAACCCTCCCAAATCTAATGCTTTCTTCCTAAAACTTCCATAACTTGTATTTTCTGGAAGCCTTTTTGCTTTTTTTTTTATTGGCACAGCAAAGAAAAAGAGAACAGTAGTTTAGCTTAATGTATTTTGGAAGGAAGTGGGAGTACTGTTCAAGCAATTAAAACCCTTGCCTCAAAGTTCAGCATTCCTGTCAACTCATTTAAGGAACAATTTAAGGCCTGGAATATTGCCAATTAAAATTTGTCTGTAATTCTTTTGATTCCCCAGTAAAATGTTCGTTTCCATTGCTAAAATTTTTACTGGTCCCTTGCAATTTGACGTAGAAATGGTTTGTGTAAGCTAAACTGGTCCTTAACCTGAAATTTATGTCAGTTGTTGATTTATCTTAAACTTCTTGAGAGGCGACACCTGTGGAATGATGGATTTTTTCAAAAATTGAGCGTTCTTGAGGAAGTGTTGGTTAGATGTCGCCTTAAAGCAACGTAGTTGCACCCCACGGGAAAAATGAATATTGAAATGACTTGAGAAATAGTGGTGATTGTGATCGCATTATAATTTTAATTATTTTTTCAGGATGCGACCTAGTGGGTTTCCACATCGAAGACTACTGCAGGAACTTTCTGGATTGCTGCGCTCGGAGACTCGGGTGCAAAGTGGACAGACGGAATAAGCTGGTGGAATTCTGCGGACGCACTGTGCGAGTCCGCACTCTGCCGATCGGCATTCCGTACGAGCGGTTTGCGCAAATGGCCAACGATGCCCCCAGGGTGGTCAAGGCCGATGGCAAAAGCAGCCAGATCATTTTGGGCGTCGACCGTCTGGACTACACCAAGGGGATCGTCCATAGGTACTGTATGGATGGATTAACACAACACCAGAATCGTGAAGTCATCGTAGGAAACTTGTTTTTTTTTTTCATTTCAAGAAGTAGGGACTGAAATTTGTATTTTTAAATTTGGTCATGATAATACAACTTTTAAATAACTCTTTTTAAAAAACTATGTCGAATTCATTGTTTTTATATTCAAATTAGGAAATACAGTTTATTCTTTTAGTTTAGTTCCTGCCAATGAGTTTCATCTTGAAATCATGAGCTGCAGCTGTTTTGGTTATTCATTTTGTAAATATTTTTCTGAGCCCACCGTTGTTTTTTTTTAGATGAAATTTTGTAAAAAAAAAAATTGCATCTCTGCGTAAGACGCGCACTTCCGTTTTCAGTTTCTAAAATCCATATTTTGAAAATGCATCGTTCAAAAATCTGTATACAAGTTTGCTGGAAAGTTCATTCAAATGTAACTGTCATGCAAATCACGGAAATATTCGAGAAGAAAACTTTGAAATACATGTTGGAAAGGGAGAAAATGTCAGGAATTGCGAGAATGTCGCTTGGAATTTTGTCCCTGCTTGTCTGCGCCAGTTTCTTCGGGGAAAAAGTGTGCGTGGTACTTGAACAGTATCATGGGAATTTTTTACCTTATGCAACAGATGCCTTGAACAGCAAACCAGCCTCTTCTGTGATGAAAATTGGGTTTGTTGTTTAAGGCCTCACTTTACTTTCATGCTGGAAAAAAGTCAAGTAATGATATTTTTATTTTGTTGGAAGGCTGGGATTAAATGATCATATTTTGATTTGGTTTTGCGGATAAAATAAACTCTGGTGAACTGAGCTTGGATTTAATTCTGCTGTGCTTCCTGGAAAGTGTACCAAAACTTGACTTACGACTAGTGGTTGATGGATTGAAGGACGTTTTGGGAACATGCGTCAGGTCAAGCTTATTCATTTTTTCTGTTTTGTTTTTCGTTTCAGGCTGAAAGCCCTCGAACACTTGTATGAAAACCATCCCGAGCACTTGGAGAATGTGACTCTGCTGCAAGTGGCTGTTCCGTCGAGGACGGATGTGCGGGAGTACCAGGCGCTGAAGGAAGAAATCGACCAGGAAGTGGGTCGCATCAACGGAAGGTTCTCCACTCCGAATTGGTCGCCCATCAGGTACCTGTACGGCTGTGTGGGCCAGAATGAATTGGCGGCTTTCTACAGGGACTCGAGTGTCGCTCTGGTCACTCCCCTGAGGGACGGCATGAATCTGGTGGCCAAGGAATACGTGGCTTGCCAGGTATGTGAGATTATTACCACTGTATAATTAATTATTTAGGAAGTATAAGTCCTTTTTTGTGTGGGTCATTTTTCGTAATTTTCTGGGTTTTATTTCATTTTCATATTCGAATTGTGCACTGTTGAGGGATATAACGAAAGTTCTTGGGATAGAAATTGAAATGGCAAATGATTGAACTGAAAAACAATTATTGCTCAAATAATATGTTCTTTGGCACCAACATTTTGAGTTTGAGCATTTTTCTTGTGCAAGGGGAAAAAAGAATAATAGGGAACAAAAAATTGGCCCTGCTTGTGACATACTTTTCTTAATTTGTTGTGGCAAAAGTCACCCCAGCAGCTTTCTGCCCTTCACTCGAAAGTTGAGGCGCCCATCTTGCAGATTTTTTGTTGTACCTCAGCTTTTCCTTCAGAATTCTTGACATCGACATGGGAATTATTTCCAAGGGTTGCCTTCTGGTCTTCTGAGGTAATTCCGCCAAGTGGCGGCTGTTGATTAAAATGGCAGAATTGATTATTAATTAATGGCGGCAACCCTTGGAATTAATGCCATGTCAATTTCAAAAATTCTCCAGGGAAAGCTGGGGTACACCAAAAAATCTGCAAGTTGGATGCCTCATCTTTTGAGTGATGAGCAGGAAGCTGTCTGGGTGACTTTTAACAAAAAAATTTGTCAAACAGGGCTGTATTGTTTCTTTTGCTAAAGATTGTTTTTCTGAACAATAATGGGGTTTCAGCTGAATTCTATGCATTTTCAATTTATATTCTGAGAACTCTTGTTAGACCCCTCATGGAGGGCAAAATTTTGGAATTTATAACGAATGCGGGCTAAAATTCATGTAACAATTTGTATGTGAATTTTAAAAATCAGTTTACTGTAATCCTTTGAGAAACTTCGTTGCTTCTCTTTTTTTGGCAGAAAAAAATGGTTTTTCAAGCGATGTGTCTCTGACTTTGGGCAAACAGTCCCAATTTTTCATGTAAATTTGGTCATGAAAGAATGTTCTCTAGGTTTCTGGAAGTTCATTTGACAAAATACGGTTAAAAAAAAGAATGGTGTGGCTTTCCAATAACCAACACAATCATCCCCATTTAGGTTGACAAGCCCGGAGTGTTGATTTTGTCGCCATTCGCTGGCGCGGGAGAGACCATGCACGAGGCACTCGTGGTGAATCCCTACGAAATCAGCGAAGTGGCGGAAGTGATCCACCGGGCCCTGACGATGCCGGAGGACGAACGGGAACTGCGGATGTATCATTTGCGACGTCGCGAGAGGCAGATGGACATTTCCCACTGGTTGAATGCGTTCCTGGCTGACATGGGGGCCCTGATTGCCGAGGATGGCATCCCTGCACCCAATGCACCACCAGCCACAAATGGCTCGAGGTAAAGGATACAAAAAGAAAAGAGAAGAAGAAATTGACGGATATCCGTGGCATAATTTTGTTTACTGTATGTGGGTGGTTCTCTTTAATTTCTTGACGTGAGGTTCGAGGTATCGGGGCTTCATCTGAATATGCTCGAATAATTTTTTCTTATCTATTCCTATTGCAGCACTCAGATTGAGCCGATGTCGGTGGAGGACTTCGACGAGTTCCTTGCAAGCTACATCGACGAGAGCAGCAAATTGGCACTCTTGTTGGATTACGATGGAACCCTGGCACCAATTGCCCCGAAGCCGCATCTGGCGTTCCTTCCGAAGGAAACGAAAAAGGTGATTGATTTCATCCGAGCACCCTATGTATTACAGATTTACAGTACGGTATTCATGACTTTACAACTTTTCCTGTAATTAAACATGTCTGTTTTGTATGTAAAAAAAAATGCTGAAATAGGAAATGTCTCATCGAGTTTAAATATTGAAAACAGCATCAATTCCGAGTCGGAAGAAGAATGGAAGTACAATTTCCATGAAATGCTGTGTTTTTTTTTTAAGGAAAAGAAATGATGAATACAGTGACCATTTTTATTGGGGAAGAGAAAAATGAATTGCAGGACATCGTGATTTTTTATATTCCGGGCATTGAATTGCTTCTTGAATGAATTGATGTGATGTGCTGAAATTTGAGTCGAGTGTTCATTTGCCCCAATTTGTCTTTCACTTCCTTTCAAAACACATCGAGCCACGTATTCATTTATTTTTCTGTGTCAATAAAATAGTAGCTGAGAAAGGGCTCCAGAAAATTTGAGTTTTAAGGGCGGAAAGCCTTCGAGTTGAACAGGTTTTCAATGCGTTGTTTTTCAGGGAAACCGTACAGAAACCGTGAAAAGAAATTGATGCCCAAGGAGGTATACTGTATTTAACTTGGGGATGTTTGAGTTTTGAAGGTGTTCAACTTGAATCAACATTTATTCTAAATTTCCAGGTTTTATTGCGATTGTCCAATATCGCGGACGTGCATATCGCTATCATCTCGGGGAGAAGCCTGCAGGACGTGAAAGAAATGGTGGGCATTGACGGGTTGACCTACGCCGGGAACCACGGGCTGGAGATCCTGCATCCGGACGGCACCAAGTTCGTGCATCCCGTGCCCCAGGGCCACGAGGAAAACCTTTCTCAAATCAAGCAAGAACTGCAAGAGTCCTGCTGCAGGGACGGGGCTTGGATTGAGCCCAAGGGCGCCTTGCTCACTTTCCACTACAGGGGTGCTCCTGCCAATTGTCATTCCAAGCTGAAGACGGACGCCACGAAAATCATCACCAAGCATGGGTACAAAAAAAAAGAAAAGAAGAAAAAAGCACAAGCCTCGCTATTATGCTAATTATTTCGCCAAGGAATTTTGATGACAGATTATGCGATTCATTTGCCCTGTTTCCACTTCATGACAATGAACTGAATTCTGCATTTATACATACACTATTAATTTTCTGCGTGTGAACACTTCATTGTTAAATTTTTGTTGGGACTGTAAAATTAAATTTTTTTCAAAAAAGATAGGGGCATATGGTATCAGAGTTAATGTGGTACGTGCTGCAATTACTCGAGTACCATGTGCCCCGAGTGAGACGCGCCCCCTTTTTAGTGCTTCTAAAACTGCAACATTCCAAAATAAGAACGCCCAAATTTGAATTCAGGCTTGATTTGATCCTAAATTCAATTGATTTTCAGGTGTTCCCATGAAAACTTTCTCTGATGAAATTTGTTCAGAATGTCCCATCAGAATGAAGTACACACGTAAAACTTTTTTGACATAAGGTGAACCTGCCTATGATGTTGCACCCCCTTTATCCTCTCAATTTTGAAAAAAAGGTGTGGTACTCAAGTAAATATTGTACTTAGTTCTCTGGTTACATAAATAAACAATAAATTCTTTACAATTGATGTCCTGAAGAGAAACAGGAATAGAAAAAACTTAATATCTAGAGTTTTTTTATTTTAATGCTGTTTTGTGAATTTTTGTTTCTGACTTCAGGTTTAGACAAGACGCCGACGAGGATGTTTCTTTTTTGTAATTTTGTTTAATGCATTTATTTGGTTGTTGTAATTTCAGGTTCACGGCGTCCCCGGCGCATTGTGCCATCGAAGCCCGACCGCCGGTCCAGTGGGACAAGGGCAGGGCGTCCATTCACATCCTGCGCACCATGTACGGCGTGGACTGGTGCGAGCGGGTGCGAGTCATCTACTGCGGGGACGACCACACGGACGAGGACGCCATGCGGGCGCTCAAGGGCATCGCGACGACGTTCCGAGTCACGACGTCGCACGCGGTCCGCACGGCCGCCACCAGGCGCCTGTCCAGCACAGACAGCGTCCTCACGCTCCTGCGCTGGGTCGAGCGCCACATGCAGGGACGCCCCATGAAGGTACTTATCGTACTTCTTTTTTTTTGTTCTTCGAACAACCTTCGTTTCAATTTAATTCCGTTTTTCAAATTCACGAATTTCTTTCCTCCGAGGAGAAAAAACAAACGAACGAACAAACAAACAAAATAAATATCAGTAAAAACACAGCAAGGGTGAAAACCATTTGACATTTTCCTGTTTCGAGAATATTTTGTACAAAACAAAATCCCTTTAAAATTAAATATCTGGGACCTGATGAAAAATTGAAATTGTTGGTTATTATTCCATGGGATTCAGGTGAAAAATGCTATAAAGTACTTCCACAGCGGAGATGTGAAGAATTACCATCATTTACAACTTCTTTGGATGAAGTAATGAAGAAAACTCGGATTTTAGAGCAAAATTCTCTCATTTCAAACCTCCCCTTTCTTGAATTTTTTCGGAAACATTTAGGACACATCAGAGCTTCATACTTCCTGCAATGCTAAACTTTCTGTACAAAAAGATTAGCACAGTACATTTTCGATATTCAAATTTGCACGAGTTGGGTTTTCCCATATTGTGCCAATTATTAGAAATTTCCTATGGCCCCTTCACACATAATCAAGGCAAAGAATCGTTTCACCCAGATTATAGAAGATAAATAGTTTGTTGTAATGACATTTCTTTGGAAATTCAAAGAAAATCTTTTAAAGCGATTCGTGGTAACGGAATTTTACTGTACATGAGTCCTCTTTTCCAGAGTCAGTTTTAATCAATTGATTGCTCATCTTTTATTTCTTTGGAACGTACGTTTTATTTTTCATTTTCTGTGGTGCTGTTCCAGGGCGTGACTGATTGCTCTAAGTTTGGTCCAGTACAAGAGTGACCCAAAGTACGAACCGGTTTGACTGACCGGACTTGTTGGAAAATATTGTTTATTGTAAGGGATGGTTCGAAAAGTTTTGTTGGTACCTGGAAATGAAGAGCTATTCGAGTTTCCGAGTCAGAATCCTTCAAATCATTCTTGAGACCCACGATGACGAAGACACGTACGAAAAAGGCCTCTGCCGAGATATCTATTTATATAGTGAGACCCCAAGATGCAGACGTAATTGGTGCATCAAGAGTGTCCCCAAGTCGAAATGTCCCCAAGTCGAGTCTTGTTTTCCCATAGACTTACATTATTTGAATTAGTGAATACATTTTCAACTCAATAAGAACATTTGGAGCATTCAATAGTGTATCTCTGTACTGTACACTGAAATTTTGACATCTACAAAAATAACATGCAAGTGAAAAAAAAGTAGAAGTCCCTCCATGCTGGAGGTAATTTTTTTTAAATTGGCTAAATGGATGGTAATTTGGTGAGAGAAATGCCCAAGAACTTTTCTTACGTCAATTGTAGGGTCGGAAATATCTTTTTCTTGTAATTCGGCCTGAAATGTATTTGCAATTTCATCACAAATGTCCCTATGTCAAGTCAGTGTCCTCATGTTGGGCCATTCCAATTGTCCAGAGGTTGAGGCGCCTGCATGTGGGGGTCTCACTGTATTTATTTTTGAAAATAAATTGACATTTTAGTGCTTTTTGTCTTTTATGAATATTATAATTTATACACTAATATTGTTGAAATGATAACATCGTCTTTTCAATGGTACATGCCGCCAGGGGCATTTCATTCTCAAAAAAGTTGTTTTCAGATGCTTATGTATTAAAAAAAATGATTATGAAATAAGCTATGAAACTGAGCTTTCATGAATTAAAGACTGACCCAGGTATATATGCATACATTTTTTTTTTCATGTGAATTAATGAGGTGAATTTTCAGGTCAACCTTGATGATGAGCAAGGAAATGTGATCAGGAAATAACCAAACACTGTCTTTTGTTTCCAGCAAAGAAAGCAAAACTCTTCACGAACCAACCCTGCAATAAATGAATGAATCACAAAAAAGCAGCATTGATGACTTTTTTTTTCTCTCGGAGGACTTCGAAGAGAGGTCACTCATTTCCGCACTGCGTCACATAACGGAACAGCACCTTTTTCCTTGATTGATCTTTCTCTCTCTCTCTTTCCGCTGCCTGGAATTAACATGGCGGCTGTTTTAGTCTAAAATTAGTCATTGATCGGGATTCGATTTGCTACTGGAATTTTATTTTATCATTTATTTTTTGGAATTGTAGTCGAAAAAGTGCCGAGTTGAATTTTTTTGGTGCCCCAACCGGATCGGGTTGGAACGAAAAAAAATCCACTGGACGCTTTTCATCCGTGACTTTTGAATGTTGTGATTGACGGTGTGTATTGTTACACCTATGCTTGCTGCGCTGATGATGATGATGATGCTGTTGGCTGGCTTCGCAAAAAATATCCCCCTCTGTAAAAATTTGGCACAAAAAAAAGACTTCGTCTCGTCGCAGAGCGAGCTTTAGTAGCTGGCAGCTCCACGGCAATGGCTCCACGAGTTTCGAAATGTCCGATCCCGAGGACTGGAAACCAAACACCAGCTCCAACAACAACAACAACGACAACCACAAGAACGACAGCGATGAAAGTGAAAATGATGCTGATCAGCATCATCATCATCAGAAGGAGGATGATGATGATCAGCGACCCGCATCCGCAAAAACCGCTTCGTTTGCCGGTTTGTAGGGGGGCAGACATCTTGTTGCTTCCTTGTTGTCATGCACTGTTTTGCACTTTGCCTTTTGTTATGGGTCTCTGCTCTGTGGTTTATTTTTCCCTTTCTTCTTATTGCTTTCACCTGCATGATGGCTGTGTGTGTGTTTGTATGTATGTATGCTGTTGCAAGTCATATATATTGAGGGAAACGTATGCCTTTTTCCATGTGTTTTTGTGCCGTGATGGTGATGGACCTGTGATGATGGTGTTGGAACTGGTTGGTGATGGGTTCAGCATCAGCCAGAGTCTGGGGAGTAGCAGCCAGTGAGATTCTTACCACACCTTCTTCTTCTGTTTCACCTTTTTCATTTTATTTTATTATTTTGTGATTTTCTCACATGCCCTGTGATTTATATTTTAGGCCAAAAGGGGGTTTTCAACCTATCCTTGGATTTTGTCACATTTTAAGGAGAAAACTGTTTGCTTTAATTATAAATTGATTGGTGTTGGACCAAGATATTATTTGAAGCAGTACCATATTTACTCAAGTACCAAGTGCACCTTTTTTTCTGGGAGCCTATTGTCCAAAAATGGGGTTTGTGTCTTCCTCATGTGTAAAAATTCCACCTGACCCATTTTTACATTTTGTGGTGTGAAAATCACAAGTTGACTTTTCAAAAAAGATGAGAGAGCTACATGCATGAATATTTTTAGGCTCAACAAGAAGATTTGATGGCTAAATATTTCCTATTTAAAAAAAATACGAACTTTGAATTTGCATTTATTGTGGATTTTAATGTGGGTGTACTCTCTCTGTAAATCAATCTTGTTAACAACAATTTTCTCTGTGCAACAATTTTTTGTTCGGCCGTGTTTATAGGGTCCTCTCCCCATGTTGTAGAGGTTATTTGAAACCAGATTCTCTCTATGTTACAATTTTTTTCTGGTTTGTTGAATTTTTTCACGAGTCCACCTGTTTTGAAATCGTTGATTGCTTAAAACTAGGAGTGCGCCTTACAGAAGGATTATGATGGTGAACTTTCTCTGAATCAGGAAAAAAAACGGTTTAAGAGAACCCATATAAGATGGGCAGAGAAGCAATGGGAAGGTGAAAAATTGTATACAGAGAAAATGGTAGAAGAAAGGACCCACCTGCATTTCCCCCAGAATTTGCTCCTGCAAAGAAGTTTTGCTTCTTTTTTTGGAGTACATGGTACTTGAGGAAATACAGTAGATCCTCAGCAAAGCAGAGCTGTAGAAAATCAAATTTTTTCTTCTTGAAGTCAAATCTAGAAAAATATTTTTCCTTGTTGAGCAGATTGTACTGTATTTTGTTTGTGGAGAGAGTCCTTTGGAAGCAGTTTTTATAGCCAACAAGGAAATTAATCTTGAATGTTGGGAAAGAGGCTAATGTTTATTTTTGGCTGTATAGCTCCAACAGAAAAGATGGAGAAAAATTGGGTACTTTCCTGTTATCTCAGTACCCATTTTTCTTTGTCTTGTGAATTCAGTATTTTTAGGTTAGGTTAGGTCAGGTTATGTTAATTGAAAGATATTTGTAACAAACATAACCTGACCTAACCTAACTTTACCTAACCGCCTCCCAAAATCAGTTTCAGCAAAATGCGGAAAAATGAAATTCGCAGTTCCTGGTAGGTGCACAGAAAGTAGGTACTGAGATAAAAGAAAAGTACCAAAACATTTTGCGCAAGTTTATGTGAGTTTATTTCTATATTTTTGTGCTTTTAATTTTGTCACCTTGGGTCATTGAACCAAATTTTTCCAACGTACAAAAACATCCTGGCATAATATGGGGATAGAAACATTGCTTATGAGAGCATCAAAATGGTTGAAAAGCCCTGTTGTAGCCAACTTTGTTTTATTCTCTCTTCAGTGTCAGTCGAATTGACTTGGTTTCAGATTCATTAGAGATTGGGTGTTGACATCAATAGAATAGCATTTGGTAGACATTAGAAAAGGTTGGATTTTTCTTTTGTTTGAACATACGCTGTGAAGTTCCAGTTGAGCTGACTTTTGTTGTGGAACTTTCATGAAACATATTTTTCAATTCTGCTCAGCCCCAAGAATGTTTGCCAAGTTTTGTTCATGCAAAATCACGCGTTGCTGTATATTTTTGCCATGAGCTTGCTCTCAAGCATATGGTATATACACATTTTTCAGATTTCAGCGGTTTTGAGTTGAACATTTTGGGCGGAGGCATGAATTGCCATGCATTCATTTCTCTTGCTTGAACCGGTTAAAAAGCAGTTGTTTCATTCTGAGTTTTCAAGAAAACAGAGACCCTCACTTGTTTGGAGTTTAGGAGGATGCTCAAAGCTTTTTTTGTAAAACATATTGGGGGGGGGGGGGGGGGGGGGTTATAGGTTAGGTCAGGTTATGTTAATTGAAAGATATTTGTAACTACTAACTTTACCTAACTGCCTCCCAAAATCAGTTTCAGCAGAATGCAGAAAAATGAAATTCACAGTTTGTGGTAGGTGCACGGAAAGTAGGTACTGAGATAACAGGAAAGTACCGAAAAATTTTGCAAAAGTTTATGTGAGTTTATTTCTATAGTTTTGTGCTCTGAATGTTGTGACCTTGGGTCATTGAACCAAATTTTTCCAATGTACAAAGACATCCTGGCATAATATGGGGGTAGAAACATTGCATATAAGAGCAACATTGGTTGAAAAGCCCTGTTGTAGCCAACTTTGTTTTATTCTTTCTTTGGTGTCATTAGTCGAATTGACTTAGTTTCAGATTTATTAGAGATTGGGTGTTGACAGCAATAGAATAGCATCTGGTAGACATTAGAAAAGGTTGGATTTTTCTTTTGTTTGAACATACGCTGTGAAGTTCCAGTTGAGCTGACTTTTGTTGTGGAACTTTCATCAAACATATTTTTCAATTCTGCTCAGCCCCAAGAATGTTTGCCAAGTTTTGTTCATGCGAAAGCACGCGTTGCTGTATATTTTTTGCCATGAGCTTGCTCTCAAGCATATGGTATATACTGTACTGTATAACAAATATTTCACCTTTTCAGATTTCAGCAGTTTTGAGTTGAACATTTTGGGTGGAGGAATGAATTGCCATGCATTCATTTTTCTTGCTTGAACCGGTTAAAAAGCTGTTTTTTCATTCTGAGTTTTCAAGAAAACAGAGACCCTCACTTGTATAGAGTTTAGGAGGATGCTCAAAGCTTTTTTGTATAGAAAAATATGGGGGGTGCTTTGATTGTTGCCCAGTGGTTTTTGTTTTTTTTTGGGTGACAGCTTTTTGTTTGTGGAGTGCAAATTTGTGTTGGCCACAGATGTGTTGAAATTTCAGTGCTGGGGCATCTGTTTTGTTGTTGTTGTTTGTCTGCTCAGCCTTGGGATAAACTTAAATGGACCTGTAGGCAGATTATTATGGATGGAAAAGAGGTTGTTGCTGTCCCAAGGGTTACTTGAGAAGTTTGGTAATCGAGAGGTTCATTAGGTGGCACTATTTATTAGTTGAAGGGAGTGTCATCTATGTTGAAAACTGGGCAATCTGTGGTTTTTTGGGGGTATGTATGTCAAAAAGGGGTAGCAGCTCCTACTTTCTCTTTTTTTTTGCAAGCGTTATTTTTAAAAAATACAATATTGCCATTTGGTGCAGTTTTGTTGATGGGATCTCGTTTTATCCTCCCGTGGTTCCGCAGTTGCCACCAAGATCCCCGTCTCCAGCCAGGTCCATCATAGATGGTAACATCTTCATCCCGGTGACAACGTTGCCACCCCCGGTGGAGGTGCACATGGAGGACGCCCTGGACGGGGACGCCGGCCGCCGCCGCCGGATTTCCGCTACCAAGTCTCCCATGAACACTGCCACTGCGAATGGCGCCGGAATCGGAAAACTACACTAGATACTGTACACAAATTGCAGTAATCACCCATGTTTATCAGAGGGGGTTTCGTTTGTTTGTTTGTTTCGTTTTGTTTTGTTGCCACCTGTAGAATGAATGAATGTATGAAAGAATGGGCGAGGTCACGAGGACGAGAGTTAGTTTTTAGTATAGCGATGTTTGTTTTTATGCCGTACAAATCATGACCAGTGTAATGACCCAATTTTTTTTTTGCGAGAGAAACAGAACCAAACAATTTTGTTTTTAATATTGAATTTTCAAAAAAAAAAACTTCGAATTTCCTAGTGACGCGATCGCTGTTTAATTGCAGGAATCCTAAGAGGAAAAAAAAAATTTGTCAATTGTATCATCACGAGGAGGATGAATTAGCGAGAGCGTTTTTCGAAAGCAATTTTTTGTGACTCTTTGTTGAAGTGATCTGGAGATGGAATTTGTCGAATTTAGAAATAGTTCGCGTGTTCAATGGAATAATCTGCCCCTCACCCCCCTCGTGTTAGAAAAAAAGTGTTGGATTTTTGAGAGACACCGCGAATTTTCGAGTAGAAGGTTGGATCCAATATGTTCACGGGTGTCCCCACGTTTTTATCCGGGTAATTGGAGACGACGCACTTTTTTCAGTATCATTAGATGTCGCTGGCAGTCTAAAATGGGATTTTGAGTTCGAAAAATTTCTTCTGAGCATTTATCTCTGAATTTTATTTCAACGAATGCATCATCGGGAATGGATTTAGATGGAAACGTTAATCCATTTTCTTATGTGCGTAACTTTTTGAGTTGTGAAACTAATTCACAGATGTTGAAAAAAAAATTTTCTCCATACAACCGTGGTTACAGATGAGTTTTGGAAGTGCGATCATGTCCTGAACCACTAGTGCTGGAATCTCTGGAGAATTCACAGGAAAAAATAGCTAAGAAATCTGAGTCGTTTAGTGTTCAAAGAAAGAAACAAAGTGTGAGTCAGAAAGAAAAAAAATATTTGGGACAAAGAAGATATCCTGTAAGATTTTTGTTAGGGGGATGTGACCCGTCCTAAGTATGCAACTTTTTTTGGCGACAGAGACAAAAAAAAAAAATTAAGTGATGTGTGCGGAAAAAGCAAAAAGGAACCATGGAGAAGCTTTGTTTTATGTAT